ACAATAAGTTCAAAATTGGGGCATTTTGATGTTAGAGCAATGTGGATATTGTCTTCGTGGTCAAATCGATTTCTCGGCCTTGTTTTTACGTTCAATAGAGTGGAAAATCCTTGTTCACAAAGGTAGGTTGTTGCAAAGGCCAGCAAATTTTTGATGGCCTCCTCATGCGCAATTTTGAAAGCCTCTGCTGCTCTTGACATCGAAAAATGTGCTTCAGTGTTGGATTGAAGTTCATGAAGTGCTTCTTTCAGCCCTTGAGTTTTTTCTGGTACATCAACGATATTCCATTTAAAGGGATCTACAACCCAACTGACAGTATGTGAATCAAGATCTGGAAGTAATCAGAGAACCGTTCTTTGAGTTTAGTCAGATGCCTTAAAATTGTATCCTTGATGTTGCCAAAAGAAATATTTTTACAATCGTCCAAAAACAAAGCTAACTTGGGAAAGTCAGCTGTCTTGTTTTGTTCTGCTTTCTATCTCTAATATAAAAGCTTTGATCCAAAGGCTGAAATCTTTCTTCTGTCTGAAATTATACTGGTGTTATTTCCTTGTAATTCTTTGTTCAATGCATTCACATACTCAAAAATATCAGCTAAATATGCGAGATCTGCAACCCACAAGGAATTTGTTAACTAATCGATGAGAACATGCTTTCGATCAACCATGAAAGTTTCAAGTTCAGTTTTGAGAGCCCACACTCGGTTCGAGACATTTCCATGTGAGAGCCACCTCACTTCCGTATGATAAAGTAGGTCTGTATATTAAACATCGCCATCTTTTCATAATTCATGAAATACACTCGTGTTTAGTGCATGTCCTTTGATAGTACTGACAACTTTGATAACATCACGTATGCCGGCTTCCAGTGCAGGTTCCAAATGTTTCACGAGCTGTGCCTGGCGATGGATCATACAGTGGTCAACATCATTTTTGGATTATTCTCTCTCGCCAAAACCAAAGAACCCCTGGCATGACCCAGTATAGCTGGAGCTGCATCAATAGACACAGCAGTGCAGTCTTCCCACTTTAAATTAGCATTATTAAAGCATTCATTAACTTTGTTGAAGACAACATTTCCAAAAGATATCAACTCGAGAGAAGAACAAAACAACAATCCCTCTTCAATTGCATGCAAACCTTTGTAGCGAACCTACCCCATCAGCTGCGAATAACCAATGACGTCTGTAGTCTCATTAAGCTGAATATCAAAGCATTTACTCTCTTTTATTGAAGAAATAACGTGCTCCCTCACATTTTCTGCTAAAATAGAAATTCTTTCTTTCAGAACCTTTGCGGACAAGGGCACTGAAATTAGTTTCGCGGCTTTTTTTGTCCAGACATAATCTCCGCCATTTTCAAAGCTGCTGGTTTAACCAATTCTTCAACAATAGTATATATTTTCATTTTTCGGCCAATCAGCCAGGCCACTTCAAAGCTAGTCTTTGATGCTGAACGTTGATCGAGTTTGTCTCTCATATTGCTGTCCAGTGTGTGTCTCTTGGCAGACAGATCCAAATTTACAAAGGATTCACGCTGTTTGGAAAACAGATGTGGGTGCAAAATATTCAAGTGTTTCTTCAATTGACTCTTTTTGAAAGATTCTGCAGTACTTTCAGAACTGGCAACACTCTGTGGTTTCATTATTCCTTT